AGGGGCTGCCTCACAGGATACTATTATTATTATTAATCTAAACGCAATGGTACCGCATTTATTCATAGAGCGTACATAAAGACATGCGCCATAACCGGTGTTACTGGCGTCACAAAACCCGTGTAATTGAATCTCGCAGTAATCGTCAACTATTAATTTTCGTTCGAAAGAAATTTGATTTATTAACTCTAACTGATTGGCGAAATCCAACGATTCGGTATATATGGATTGCGGTACAGATTCATTCCAGTGTACCTTGGACCGCCACACGTCTTGTATCAATTTTTTAGCATATAAAACGACCGGGCCTACCAATCCTAACGGATCAAAAATTTTTGAGATTTCTGGCAACAATTTTCTTTTTGTTAAATTTCCGACAACTCTTATGGAGTGAGCTGAGTATCGAATTTCGTCGTTACGCGCGTTCCACATAATGCCCAGCGTCTTTAAGGAGCGATCTGCGTCAAATGTAAAACTCTCGTGCAGCGCACGCGTCGGTAGATCACTAATGACACGCTCGTCATTAGACGCCCACTGTCTAATATTGAAACCACCACGAGCGAGCAGTACGATTACTTCGTCCTTAATGGAGATCGCCTCGTCAATGCTATCGGCACCGGATAATAAATTGTCTACGTATAAGTGTCTTCTAAGGACTTCGGCCGCTCGAGGATACGCATGGCTCTCGTCATCAGCAAGCCTTTGAATGGTCCGAATTGCCAAAAATGGCGATGATGCTACACCGAAGGCTAAAGTGTTAAATTGAAATGTTTTAATTTTATCGTCTCTGCGCCACAGGACGCGTTGAAAACGTCTCTCGCTCTCGTGTAACTGAACTTGCAGGTACATTTTCTCAATATCTGCAGATATAACATATCTATGCGTACGAAAGCGAATGACGTGTGAAAACAATGTGTCCTGAATCGTCGGGCCCACCATCAACACGTCATTTAGTGACACGCCAGTACTTGTTTTAGCTGACGCATCGAAGACTATTCGAATTTTGGTAGTGTTGTTCGTGTCCTTAAACATCGCGTGATGAGGCATGTAGTAACCGTCATCAACCGGATCATCTACGACCGACACGTGATTTGACTTCATGTATTCTTCAAACGCCTGTGTGTATTGAAATTTAAGTGTGGCATTGCTATCAAATTTGCGTTCCAACGATGACAAGCGTTTGAATGCGACGCCTCGCGACTCACCGAGACGCCTGCCGATATCGCAAAAGGGTAGAGACACTACATAACGCCCGTCGGCGTCGCGAGACACGGTTTTGATATAATGCACCTCACACGCGATCTCCTCCTGTGATTTCGCATCTATCATCGGAATCTCCTCAATCGTCCAAAATTTCGTCAATTGATTTTCTAAATTAGTTGCATGACACGTTATAGACTTCGACGGCGTCACAAGAGGGGTGCCACCGGCAACCACCCAACCGAAACGAGTTTTTTGTAAATATAAGTCATGACTTTTATATGACAAATTAATTTGACCAATGCAAAGCAAAGATAACGTTGGTCCGGCTCAAATTAATAAATCGATGGGTTGCGGAATATGAAAATTCGGATCGGCTAACTTTATGTTCGATGGAATTTTAATAGAGCTTCGCGGAAATGTTTCCGACGGAATCGAATTTGCTACGGCCGGAATGATTAAACACGCCAATTCCTTACGAAATCCATCGTGTATTGATTGTATGGTAACTCGAACGATCCCCTTTGATACTGTGCCGATAGCATTTATTGCGCCGATGGTTGTCGAACTTGCAGTCATATCAAGATCCAGGTGTTTTACGAGAGACTTGGAAATGAAATTCGCGGTGGCACCAGTGTCCAACAAAGCGCGACATTTGATCAAATTGTTCTTACGATCAATGATGTGCACTAACGCACCTGTTAACAATTGTGGTGCAAAAATGGAAGAAATCGATGCGAGACTCGTCGTTTCACCGCCAGCGCAAAACGCCAGTCAATCCTTTTGAGTTGTTTCAGGTTTCGTTGTACCGGACTACGCGGTGGGGTAATTTTCAAGGTGCAAGAGGGTGTTACGTCGTTTTTGACAAATGGTACAACTTGAAAATTTACAAGGACTGTCGCGATGTGAACGCAAACAATTATAGCACAATAAAACTTAAAATTATAACTCACGAAAATGTCAAATAACAAAAACATTAATGGGCTAATGAGAGTCACAGCTGCGGTAGTTCGTGCGAGAAAATGACAATTTTTATTATGTATAATACTTATAATTCTAGACGTTTCGGCTCCAATTCGGGCCATCCTCAGTAATTCAAATCGATATAATAATCATTTCATCTTCCATGGCTGGACAAGAGAGTGGCAACTCCATCAATCCATAAATTTTGTCTCAAGATTGAAAAATCTCGTGGCAGTGAATAGAAAGAAATTCTAAATATGATTTGCCATTAGTATGTTTAACACAATAAAAAGAAAAAGGAAATTGGAAA